CAATGTATAGATGCCATCTTAACCTATAATATGATTGATACCTCCCACTCCATCACATCATACACAATATTTGGTTCTTTTTTTATTTCAACCCATCAGATAACTGAAGCATGTAGCTATGAAGACTCAATGTATACAAAAAATTCCCATCATAAAAGGAGGATTTAAAACCTAAGGTCACATTAAGGCCTGGTGGTTCTGTTGCCTTTTACTTATTGATCCATTTTTACTTCACATTGCAGGATTTTTTTATTCAGGTCTCCCCTTCTGGGGTCCTCTTGAATGTGATCAATCCAAAATTTTTTATTACCGAGACATTCAAGCTATGGTCAATGCCTATATGGTGACTTACAGGGATTGTCATCTTCCCATTAATTATTAAATATATGTGATCATATACCCGTCTGCAAAACTGTCTTACCGTGTTGCCAATATAGAACCTTGCACACTTACAATTCATAAGGTAAACTACCCCTTTCGTTTGATGACCTTGATATATCCAGGGATACGGATTGCATGACTTGCATCTGTAAGTGCCCCGAGTTGATTTAATTCAACTTTTTGGAGGTCCCCAATGATGACCCTGAACCAATTAGTCCCTAAAGGACTGAGAGCGCCTATAGACAATTTCTGGTCCATCTTTCACATATTTCCGGACTATTTTGTAGTTAGTTAAAAATTGCCGGTGCTGCCCTATGATGCTTTTAGACATATTATGCTGCCTAGAGAATCTGGTGATAAATTTGACTGTACTGGTCCTTTCTTTCTCACTATGTTTTCAAGGTACTTTTACTGTACCCCCTTTCCCCAAGCGTGTCTCTAAGTTTTTGGACCTCTAGTTAAAAATCAACATCCGTAGCACAATTGCATCTTGCTCGCAGATATTGGCTATAGGGACAAAGAGAGTAGGTCTGCCTGGGTAGGGAAAGCAGCAAGAAGGGAGCATAAATATGCCTCAGTAGCCTGCCAACAGCATGTAGTAGGCACAGGACAACCAGTGTCTGTTACAAATAGCAGAGGGTTTGAAGGCCAGGACCCCAAGGAGTCATCTGGCGACTCGGAAGGTGGGGGGAGAGTCCATACCGCTGTACACTACACAGCCTCGGGCAGCCCACGGAGGGGGGGGCTCCCACACAGTCATCCCTCTGTGAGGCCTAGGGGAGAGGGTCGCTGCATAGTGGATCCATGGAGTGCGGAGATACCATGCGCAGGGAGGTGGGGAGAGGTCCCCCTGGGTTGACCAGACTGTATCTGTCTTAAAGGGTCGTCTGGGTCCCGGGTCCACTGCGGAGATGTCGAGGATGTGGACAGGGTAGATTGTGAGGCGGCAGCTGTGAAGCCCGGCCTGGCAGTCAGCGCATCCCCTTGATGGTAGCTGGGTGGGCCGTGGTCCTCCTCTGATCCTCGGTGCCGACCACTGAATTGCTCTGGTCGGTGATGCATCAGGAGCCTGCCCATTCAGTAGGATCAGTCAGCGAGGGAGCTGGCTGTGTGGATGGTCAGGCAAGGGGTAGGGTGCATTGCAAAAAACAGGACATTGTTTTTTGTGGTCTAGTTGTATACATCTGTACAATAATACCACACTATGCACACCCATGCATAAACAAAAAGTTGAAGAGGCCTTTTCACTTCTCAATCATTCAATCGCATGATGAATGCCCGAAAATTTTAAGTAGTGTGAATAATATGGTTAGCGTTTAGTATACAGGAATCGAAGGGTATTTGTATCAAGTGTTTTGTTATTGTTACTGAAGCTAAGACTAAAACAACATGTTGCTTAAACGTTAGTACCTTTGATGCTGAAGGCAATTTTATCTTCTGGGTATTCCTTGTGCTCAAAATGTGAAGATCTGCTGTTTCATAAAAAAGGACTGAGCTATCTGATGTCTTTCAAATGCATTATGTACTGACTCAGAAGAAAAACAAAAAATGAGTACTGTAGATTCTAAAGCTCCTAATGTGAACCAGAATATGCACACTAAAGAATTTACATATTCTGAAAAAGCTGTAAAATCCCTTTAAAACAAGTTCCTATTCACCTCTGTATCTGTGTGGAGAAATGTAATTTTCAAAGTTAACAATGCAGTTATTGAAATCGTAACATTGTTTTTATAGAAAGCTGACCTTGACAGGCTGTCAGCCATCTCATTTAAACAACTAGCAAGTGTTTCCAAGCTGTTAGAATCTTGCTGAAATGGACACTAAAGTCTTTGTTGTGATCTTTGAAAATGAATAACTTCACATTAAACCAAGTTAGAGTGATGACCGATAACGTTCTTCTACTGCTTCTTAAAAGAGAACTATGGCCAAACCTTTACTAATGTCCTCCTGTGACCTAAATTTCCTGCTTTATGCTGACAGCACAAAGCCACGCTGCAGCCAGGAAGGATCCTGACAATATTGTTGGATTCACCCCGCCACCTGATTGACAGCTAGCTCTGCCTCTCCAGTCAGCACTGGAGAAAAGGAGAGGGTAGGGGGGAATCCCTATGGGGTGCGGTGACTAACAGTCACCCCTCTCTGCAAGGGGAAGAGCAAGCAGCGGTTTGTTATCGCTCAGTTCTTGATCTATAGAGCCGACGTGTGACAGTTGCATTGGCACACGTCAGCTCCAACTACGGGTGTGAGTGCATTTCACCCTTCCCATAATTCTCCTTTAAGAATATGTAAATAACTTAATGTTCACATTTTGGGCAGGGACACTTTAACAAAAAAATCATCTGGGTACAGTGATGCATGACTTAGTGATTGTAAAATTATCATAGCACTGAAATATGGTCTGGTGTTATATGCTGGTTCTCAAGTGGTTAAAACCAATTTGTGATTTAGTGACTCAACCACTTTGACAGCATGCCCAATAATTTTTAACTTTCTAGCAATTTCAACAAACTGTATAGCAATGCTGGTATTGCTCTCATTTTAATGTCTGTTATTTAGTGATATTTTTCCATCTGTTGATTTATATTTTATTTAATTGGAATATATCTATTTTTTGCCATTTCAAGCATTTTTTTAATGCTTCACAGCCCTGATGAAAGCAGCCCCCTTTAAACCCCTAAAATGCATTTGCTTGTTAATTAACTTTTTATCAATAAACGGACCTTCTGTCCCATACTTTACAAAAGGTCTGGTGCTATTTTATGATTGAAATTACTGCATATTAAAATTTCCAGAAAAAAGACAACATTATTTGTTTCTGTTAAATCATGAAAATACCAACTGCCAAATGCACATATCTCTTTAAAGACCATTACGACAGGCAGAGAGACACACGCTTTACATAGTCATATCTGGGGTGCTTAACTTCATCTGAAAGTCAAGAATTGTCTACAGTGATACCAGAGTTAAGGCTTCCTAAAGTGTATTCCACTTTTGCAGTAAAATTTGAGAAACCACTCTATATGTATGTGATGTGTTCCCATTCACACAGCATACAAAAAAAGAAATGTTCTGGCAGATGATAGACTGAATAATATCATGCAATGTCAAGCCGTAGTTTCTAAAGCAAGCAACATACTTTCTTGTATTATACGGGGTATAGACTCCAGAGATAGAGACATAATCCTGCCCCTGTACAAAGTATTAGTAAGACCTCTTCTGGAATATGCAGTTCAGTTTTGGGTACCAGTTCACAAAAAGTATGATGTGGAACGGGAGAAAGTGCAGCGAAGGGCGACTAAACTCATAAGAGGCATGGAGGAGCTCAGCTATGAGGAAAGATTAGCTGACCTAAATTTGTTCTCTCTGGAGAAGAGGTGATTAAGGGGGGATATGATCACCATGTATAAATACATAAATGGTCCATATAGTGAGCTTGGTGCCAAATTATTCGCTTTAAGGTCACTGCAAAGGACAAGGGGGCACTCTTTGCATCTGGAGGAAAAGAGGTTTAACCTTTGCATATGGAAAGGATTCTTCACCGTTAGAGCTGTAAAAATGTGGAATTGACACCCCAGGAACTAGCTCTAGCTAGCTCAGTTAATTGTTTTTTTAAAAATCTAGTTGTATTCCTAAATGCACAGAATATTATTGGATATTGAGTATATTAAAGTAGGTATATTAAGCATCAGAGATTGTTAATCCAGGGAATATCCGATTGCCTTATGGGATCAGGAAGGAATTTTTTTCCCACGGTGGGGCAAATTGAACCATGCTTTATAGGGGTTTTTTTTGCCTTCCTCTAGATCAACGGTGGGTAATTGTGGGCATAGCGTTCTGTTTAGGCTTTTTTTTTTTTCTTTTTCATATCTCTATCGGTTGAACTTGATGGTCCTGTGTCTTTTTTTTTCAACCTGACTAACTATGTAACCATGTTTAAAAATGTTTTATTATCTTTTAGGGATTTCTTTGGTGAAGGTCTTTGCTTAGATTCCAGGCTACTTTGAGCAGGTTGAAAGTGACACTAGAGGGACAAACTGAGGGACAGACTCAGCTTCTTTTCATAAACATACAATACTTCCAAGTCTTTAACCCTTTGTTAGGACAGGCAGTGTTCAAATCTAATCTATAATGGATAATGGGATCTGCCAGCACAGTACAGACAGCGTTAATTAGAGTAAACATAAATTACCACAGCCTCCTCCTTAACACTACATAAGGGGAACCTAAGTGTGATTTTTAAGCAAGTAAAGGGCACTTAAAAATGTAAGCAGCACATATTACATAAAATTATGCAATGCGAATGAGGACATATTACAAATATAAAGTAGGCGTTATCCCAATTAGGCTGCAATAATGGAAATACACTGCATTCAGGAGCACATTTGAAGAAAAAAGAAAAAAAAATGATGTGTGCACTTGTATGCATTAAATTCGCTTTAATGCATTTATCTAACAACAGTCTCACTTTAATGTTTAGATAAAGTAACAACTGTGGCTTATCCATTCAAGCATAACAGTGCTATTAAAGCAATATTCTATAAGAAATATAGAATACTGCAAAAAAGTGAAAACCAGTATTGTAGTGTATGGCAGGGAAATCACTTTTGTATGTAGTTTACCTCATATTGGCAATCTTGAGATGTGTAGAGCATTAAGGTTACCATCCTACTATCATTCTGTGGTTGTGGCTCATGAAGCTTAGCAGATAGATGTAGAAGTGCATAATTGCTGGGAAATAGAGGGAAAAATTTTAATAAGAATTATTAATATAATAACATTACATTTACAATACTGCAATTCATTTTCATAAATGTCACTTAAGTAAATAAGGGGGATCTAGGACTATGATATTAAAAGCTGGGGAATGGCAGCAGTCGCTGGGGAATGGCAGCAGTCACAGGTCTAAGCCAGAGCACTTGTCTCAGAAAACATTCTCCATGTGCATGTCAAGTACTGCCTCTTTATTTTAGAATTACTTTATTTTGCGCTCTCGAAGGATTCAATGTACATTCCCTTCCCATTTTTTGTTCATCTTGCAACCAAAAGCTGCAAACCCATTTGATGCAGAGAGCCCATAACAGCTTCAAGAGCTGTTCAGAACTGCCTATTATGGGAGAAAACACTCAACTGCACTGGCAAGTCTTTAAAGAATATAAAACCATCAGTAAGAACCATTATAACTACTTGCCTGTCTGACTAACTGTCCCCGTCTCCAGCCTTCCCTCTCCGTTTCAAGACTGCTGCCTTTGTCAGTGTATTCGGCATTAAACTTTTTACAGGAATGCTCAAAGCCTGTGTTGCCCTCTGTGCACTGTGGCTCCCTCTTCAGGTGGGATATAGAGTTTAGAGACTGGAGCAACAGGCATCCAACACTTGTTGAAGTGTTGGATGTCGAACACACTGATGCAGGCTGTAGCGCTAGAATGGAGGAGTCATGGATTGTTGGAGAGGTAAGCATAATGGCTCTTCTCTTCTAGAGACAAGATTGTTTGATACCTTTAGAAATCTGTGTTTCTTTAAACTGCAATTTGTTGGTTTCGCATATAATAATAAAAACCTAATAAATATATAATTGAACCAAAATCTTTACTATTATAAAAATGTAGAAAAAAGACCTAGCTTGAAATTAGGGATGCACTGATACAGTTTTTTCAGTATTGAGTACGAGTAGCGATATTTTGCTTTCGGTACTCGCAGATACCGAGTGCCAATACCGGTGCTTGCACTGGCATGGAGCCGGCTTCCCAGGCAATCAGGAAGCTGGGCAGTGGGTAATGACATGCCGCCCGGCTTCCTGAGTGCTCGGGAAGCTGGCTCCATGTTGTTTGGCTGGCTCAATTGTGAGACCGGCTACCCAGCCAATCAGGAAGCCAGAAGGCGGGTGATTCCTTGCCAACCGGATTCCCGATTGCCTGGGAAGCCGGCTCCATGTTCCCTACGGCACTGGCGCCCAGAGGAAATCTTCCTCTGAGCGGAAGTTCCTGTATTGGGAAAAGTATCGAAGAATTTGGGCGAGTGCGAGCCAAATACACGGTATCGGCACAGGTACTAGTATCGATATTGGAGCATCCCTACTTGAAATGTATACCACTGACAACTTATTCAGATCTGAAAACCAAAGAGATATTTGCCAAGTTGCACCTTTTTTGGTAGATAGCATTAAGAGATTCCCAGTGCCACCAGCTGAGCTATAATTTTAAAATGTGTCATTTTTGTATTCCTTTTTTCCATAATACATACCTATAGCTACGTGATATATCAGACAGGCAGACAAATCGCCATAAAGCAACCCCCTCACTCTTTTGATAAAAACTTCTAGATGACTTCTCAAACCCATGTAACCTCAGGACCCACATTTGTCTTTGGTCATTCAGTCGCGACCCAACTCGCACTGCACTGGCTTTGTGCTACCAGGCATTCTGGTGCAGACGATCGAACTGTGGGCGGGAGGTCCGTTTAGGGTGCCAATACAATGCACCTCTTACACCAGAACAGGTGGGACTGTGCAATTAGCGCACTGTACTAGTGTGAACGGGCCCTCAAAAACAACCACAGACACACAACCACAGACATTCTCACACACTCCAAAATAAATTATAATTTAAATTTTTTTTTTTAAAGATCCGCCTAGTTCCCTACCTTATGAGAACTGGAGTCAATCCTCAGCCTGGGGTCCAGTGTGAGCTGCTGTCCTGTGACAGAGCTCCATCCATACATGCATTGCACACCCTGTAGAGGTGCTGGGAGCCAGAATGTGACGTCACTCCGGTCCAGGCACCTCTACAGTGCAGACGAGGGAGCTGTAAGCAATGCATGTATGGATGGAGTTCCGTCGCGGAACTTGGGAGCCTCTCACTTAGCGCAGTGAAAGGCACGCAGCGACCCACTGAACAAGGGATCGCGACCCACTAGTTGAGAACCATGGTTCTAGATGAAATGATGGACATTAGACGCAGGCAGCTCTACACTGCCACAGCCCATCAATAACTGCTTAGTGTTTAAAAGCTGTGATGCGCTATACTCCTGCAATCTGGACTCCAAAACGTCACGTACACATAGGGCCCAAACAAAGAGGCAAATAGCTGCCCCATACTGCTAGGTGCATGTCCCTAGAATGGACATTGTTCAATTAGATCAAATCCCATGTATTTACATTGAGTACAGTCTACTGCAGAATGTAAACACCGTTTAGACGTATCCAATAGGAGGGTGAGAGTAGAGGTATTGTAAAATATTTTGCTTTAAACTGCACCAGAATACACTTTTCCACTACATAATGAACATGTACATACTGTACGTCTAAATCTGAACAGAGGAAGATAAGTTGGCGCAAGCGTGTTTAAGGTTATTTTAAGTTTGAGTGCAAACCCTTTGCTTTTTAGCCTTCGTTTTTATCTACCATCCTTAGTTACTTGGTAATACACATTTAGATTTTACTTGAAGAGCAAACTGCTACTGAAATGTGGTTCTAGCATTCATTTATACAAGTGTATTGGCACTCTTGTGCAAAAAACATGTTATACGAGTATCTTTCTGTCTGAAAGTTCATACTTCGGTTTAAAATCAATAACAGCAATAGTGTACCAAGGTTCCAACAGTTTTTTTTTTTCTCTAACAGGGAGTGGATAGTAGGGGGACTCCTATTTTTATTCTACAACAGGGTCAAATGGGTAAGTGATTTCCATTTAAAAGCTTTCCTTTTAAAGTTACACTAAAACATTTCTGCTTTTGAACATTCTCCAGTTTCCTGTGACTCAGTCTTACATTATGTACTGTGTCTCAGGGAAACGTCTAAAGTGCAATTTTGACAAAAAGAGGGAGCTAAAGTACCCAGCTCAGAGATCTTAAAATCACAGATTACAAATATAGGGGTACTAAATTAAGCAATAACCTAACAGTCACACATTTGAATGGATCAACACTTACTAGAAGTAGGAGTGTTCTAGGACTGAAAGCATGTAAACAATTAATCAATTAGAACACAAAATGTACCTGGGTGTCCTAAGTACATCTTCATGTGACCATGGTACATGCAATCTAAACATGTTAGGTGTCTTTTCTGAAAAGAAAAATGTATCATAGAACAATTAGGTTTCCATAAAGAGAAGGGTCTATTCAAAGTTATTATTGAAGCATATTATAACAATTTCTCAAAAGTAATGTTTGATATTACAAATGTTTAGATTGCCACAAAGACAGATGTGCACTCAGCTTCCTAGATCTCCTTTGGATATAGCCCCTCCCTGTTAGAGAAAGAGGAGAGTGGAGACATGGTGACCTTGTACTTTCACTCATCAATATATGTGTTGCACGAGTCATGAGAGTTTATGGTTGGTTGTGTGCAGGAAGCTTCTGCAAAGGAGAGCTGGGCATAAACCTTCAGGAGAATAAAAGAAATGGAATGTGAGATGGGTTATACTCACTGAGGGTGTAAAAGTGAATGGATCCAAGAGGTCTCTAGCACTTGACAGGAAACAAAGATTACTGTGTGTTTTGGAGGACTATGTCTCTGTTCATGCTACATGTTGAGCAAAGCCGATTTAAATTTTCAATAAAAAAAAAGTCCTGTACTAGCTCTGCACTTGATAACAGCTTATGCAGATTGAAGATCCGGACAACGCTGGCTTTAGCTGGAGAAAAGGAGGGCTGTATCTGTCATTCATGTGACTTAGTCAGCTGTGTGTGAGATTCTACTATTCCATATTCACAGCAGAAAAGCAACTATCCTGTCCTGGAGAACCAGACTCTCTCACTTGCCATTTGCTGCAAGGGTTAAACCGTTAATTGGTTTTTTATTTTACTCTAATCAAGAGAAATAGTTCAGACAAAAGCAGAGTAGTACTAGTCAATGTGTCTGACTTTTGGATGCCAAAAGGAAGGCCAAAACCCAGGTGTGTGTGTGTGTGTGTGTGTGTGTATGCAGGTAACAGACAGTGTAATGCAAAGGAAAATGTTAACCAGTTTACCACCGTGCCAAAGCATATAAATACTGCATCTCTGACAATTTTTACAATAAGTAGTTGCAGCTGTGGTGAGAAATCAGCATAACTAATCCCGTGTGGAAAAATGAGGTTAAAAGGTCACTGGCCTTTAACCCAACATACCAGTAACTTTACCACACTTCATAAGTGCCACATCATTTATTGAGTAGCAATTAGCCAGTTGCATACCAGTATATACTACAGGTAAACACATAAAATTGATAACCATTATTGTATCAGTGTCCTATAAGTCATAAGAGACGTTGAGTAACAACACAACTGGATTGCTTGCATTGCCTGCATTGAGAAGAAACAGTATTACTGGATTGCCTGGAGACCAAAGTCTATGTGAGTGGGAGAACTGTGGTGTGCATAAACTCTGAACAGCCTCTGATTCTGTGAGAATATAATGATGGTCTCATGTGACAAGCATGCATCCTCTACATTTCTAATAAAGTGCCTCTTGGAAAATGGGGACCAGTGTCAAGAAGTCTCTAGATACACTGCATTGTAATAATGAATTGCGAGTAAAAGTAGTTTATGTTGCTACTGATTGCTAAATAAAAACTTTAGTGACCAAACCTTTATCCTCATTTTTAATCAAATGCTTGAAAAGGAACCAAAGGACTAGGGCCAGTGATCAAAACATACCCCATTTCCAAAAGTCTAGGTATGCTTCAAATACACAGTATAACCTATCCTTGGAACCTATATCTACACTGGCACAGAGGTGCAAAAAAGCACAGAGGTGCAAAACAGCCCATTGCGCTCATTGCCCAATTTTCCAAGAGGGTATGTATGTAGCTAATTGAGCCTTATTAATGTATGTATTAATGTAGATATTCATACATGTGCACTGAGAATTACTATTTATTATATTTATTAATAGAGTTATCTCAGCTTTGGATCTACAAAGAAATTAGAGTTTTGCCTCCAATAAACCTCCTGAGGAAGCTTTAGTGAGTGAAACGCGTCGAGGGCCGGAATAGTGCAATTATAAATGAAATTATGCTTGCCTTGCAAATGTGTATGGACAATCACGCATCAAATGCATGACCAATACTACAAAAAATATATCGTTATTATATACACCATGCAATTGCACTAAGTCCAGGGAGGTATATGTAATCATTTATTATCCACTGTTTGTAACTTTTTAGACCAATGAAATGTTTTTAAGCATATTGAGATCATGTAAATAAAATTATTTATTATACTATATATATATATTTATGACCAGTCATCATGTCTCGTTACCAAGCTAAGCCATGTTATCCCACATTCATCATTGGACACTTTTAAAGCCCCATTATCGCCTTGTTTTTTCAAGTTAAGTGAATAACCGGCCAGAAATAAAGGAAGGGAACCGAACGCCGTTAGGCTATTCACCTCAGCCATGTACAGCTGAAAACAGCCGTACATCGGCTGCCTTCAGCTTCCTTCACTTTGGTTCAGCTGAACAGCCTCAGAGCATTCAGCTGAGCCGAAGTGAGGAACACTTTCGCTTTAGCCGATCCAACATCTTGGTTATTCTGCTCGCTACCTCTGAAAAAGTAACCAGCATGGGGACATGGTGGTTTTTTGGGGGGGCATGGAAAAGCACCCTCCCAATGTGGCCTGGTATGATGCAGGGAGGAGGGGTGCTCGCTCGTCCCCCCATTTTCTGCCCTGCCAGCTACCGGAAAAAGGGTCAGGTTTAGAATTTTAGGGTTTGTTAGAGTCCTACCAAACTGTACTGCACAGGTAATTAAAGATTTCCCCTTTAAAGGTATGCCTGCATAACGGTAGTGAAAATACAGCCATTGCAAGCAATGATAACAAATATCACATGTGAGGGGAAAAAATAAAACAAAAAATACCGGCGATAATACATTTAACTAATGTATACATGAAAAGGATAATAAATGCAGCCATATTTTTTTGTCCATGTACAATATTTTTGTGCCAGATATTCTGGTAAACGGAAGTAAACAAGTACTTTACTTGCCTATGGATTCCTTACAGTTCTTCTCAATCAAGATGTCAAATGCTTGATAGATCTGTGTGGAAGATCAAAATTTATATATTGCAGTTCTGGTATTACATTTTAAACACTGCTCAAGCACATATAAAAGGGTACCTTGCTGAATCCCTGAAGTTGTAAAATATGAAGCAATCCAGAAGAATTAATCTTTATGTGATTTGATGAAAAACCTGTAAAATGGTGAGAAATGGAGAAATGTAAGTAGGTAGATTACTAAAGAGAAATGGAAAATGTGTGTTTAGTTCGATCATGAGTTGCAGAGGTAGAATCATAATAATATCACTACGCAAATGCCA